TTTTTTTTTTTTTTTTTGAACAAGGCTGTGACAACTTCATCTCATCTGGGTACAACAAACATGCCTGAGTTGTGGCTACACAGCAGGGCTTTCTGTTCTGTGTGTGAGTGGTGGAGGTTTTTCCATCACAGGACCATATGTTACCTACTGTGTGATGTGTCTGAGCTCCTACCAGTGCTTCAGAGAAAATCGTGGCAGCTCTGGAGGAGCTGCAGGGGGACAGAATGCCTGGGGACATGCTCAAAAAGCAGCACCTGAACTGGAGCCACTGGCCTTTGGTCTGCACAGGGAGCTTGAATGAGAAAGAAGTTGTGAAGGCACAAGCAAGGGTCCAGAGGAAAGCTCCTTTTCCAGTGTGAAATAATAAATGAGACCATGACAAAGTCAGTACTGGGCTCAGGATTCTGTCTTGATATTCTGCCAGCTAACCACGCTTTGTGCATTTAGAACTGACCTGGTCATTAATTTGTTACAGACTTGTGCAATGTGAGCAAGGCCAAGTCTCTTGCATAAAGATGTTTTCTCTTGCAAGCCAACTGGAAATGCTTAACATTTACTATTCACAGAGAGATCTGCTTGTCATATCTGTGACACGGCACTCCTCTCTGCACTGCCCACTCAAGACACCTCCTGGATAATTAGATTCTTAGAAAAACTTTCCTGCATCCAACCAGAAGTCAGCCAAAGTTGATTAGTGTGATAAGTTCTCTGTCTCTAGTAAGGGACAGCAGTGGGGGCTGAAGGAGCAACAAATACAATATACAAATATACAATATACAAATGTACAATATACAAAGCAGCTCTTATATATGAAGATCCTTTCCCTCTAAAAATCATCAACAAGCAATGTGGACTTTCCCAAATCTGGTTGAATCTGAACTTCTGCATCTGCATCATGTACAGCTCTGTTTTCCAGACATTTATCTAATGTTTTTTTGAACTCATTTGGATCTAATTCTCTCAAAGAGACAAAAGGTAAAGTTATGGTAACTGGAGCTATTTATGTTACAAAGGAGACACAGGAGAAGGGGGTTAAAGCTAATGAATGGCCTTGGGAATGGACAGGACCTTTCTCAGAATAGAACAATAGGGTGCTTTTATGGAACTGGGAGACAGAAAAAACAAAACTATTAAAAAAGAAAGAACACTCTTTTGTATTATTCGGCATTAGCCTTCAGAACTCATTGCCACAAGCTCGTTCCCTGAGCTTGCTGTGAAGAGCCTGTCTATCTCTGAGGTGATGATGGTTGGGAGAGGTGACTGCTGCACAGCTCATTGAATCAATCCAGCCACAACTTCAGCCAGTTCGAGTTGGGTGACTGGGGCTGAATTTCAACTCATCACTGCTAATCAGGCTCAGAGAGAGAGAGAGAGAGAGAGAGAGAGAGAGAGAGAGAGAGAGAGAGAAACTGCTGCCAGGGGCCATCCTTGGTGAAGCAACAAGTGAACAGGCAGGGGTAACAGCACCCCTGAACGCTGACCATCGAGCTCCAGCTCCTTGCTGGACGCCCAGGAGAGGAAAAGGAACATGCTGTCCTTACCTGGGTTGCTGCTGGCTGACCAATGACCACCCACCCTGGGCACTGCTGGTCACTGTGGTGTGAGACAGAGACGTTGGAAGCCCACTGATCCAGGAAGCCTTTGGGAGTGTAAACGCCGCAGTCTTTGATGCTGGTCATTTGCTCAAATTCCTCACAGACTCCATCTCCATCGTGGAAATAGCACCTGCTGGGTTCATCTGCCAGGGGGAACAGAGAAAAGAAACCATACGTGTCTGCAGGGTTGTTCCTAGGACCTGATACCATCAGTGGTCATCTATCTGCTGGGAGGGGGGAGCATTGGTCACTTCTAGGTCATATCAAGGTGATTTAAATAAAGCCAAGCAACAATAGCCAACTTTTGTATTGGGCAATTCCCTGAAGATATTTCCTAATGTTACGGGGTTTCTGCTTATTTTCATCTATCTCCTTCTAAAAGGAGATAGAAGAAAGCAGCGATAGAAAATACATAGAGAGGCAAATGTGGGTGTTGGCATAATTCCACCAGCTGGGATGGAAAAACGCCAGCAGAGGGTTTGGTTTAAAATGTTTCCCTTTTTGTTTTTAAAAGATATCTGCAAATCAACAACAACAACAGCAACTGTGGCTGTAGAGATGGTGAAAACTGCCAAGTTCACAGTTGTAGTGACCAAAGGGCCAAACAGATCTGTTTATCCAAGGCAGATACAGTATACACAGTGTGAGGGTGAGTTTGCCACATAAACACACAGCTTCAACCAACATGACTCAGATTTGACCTGAAAGGATCAAAAGCAGCAGGAGACTTTATTATCCTTGCCCATTTATTCTGTGGCTTCTCTAATGAGACTGCCAACAAAGATGCCAAATTTTTGAGGTTGTTTCTGTAACACTGGCCCATTAAAAACTGAACTGAGATCCATCTACTCTTTTCAAACAGACTGCATAGCAATAATGACTTTCAGTCATTAGAGTACTCTGTGAAATGGAAACCTTTGACCTGTTGGTATCCTATTTTGTATTGTATTATCATTGCCAGTCCCCAGAGGTATCCAGTTCTGACAGCCTGTTGTATTTTTGTCTGGCAAATAAGCCTGTTGAAAAAAATGGTAGGAAATTAGCCAGAGCTGCTAGCTGGACTGATGGAAAGGATCCCTAAGGAGAATCCTGTCGGTAGCATTGGACTATCATGAGCTAGGTGTCAGAAAATCCAAGAGCTGCTCAATTTTGAGCTACTTCCAATCTACTAAATCCCCTGTTTATTTTTTCTCCTGGTTTACACAGTGAAATACCATGATGAGCCAGAAAAAAATCGGTTTATTGCTATTCAATTATTTAATGACTTTCACTCCCTATCCTCCTGTGCAATATTCCAGGTCTTTAAGAGAGGGTGGCTTTGAAAGAATGGAGAAGTCTATCAGGGAAAAATGTCATTATGGTTTGATTTCATCACAAGCTCTGTGGACAGCTTGTGTACATGGATAAATGTAGGGAACTGTGTATTTGTCAGGCCAGAGCCCTGAGCTGGTGAAAAGGAGCACAAGTCTGGAAGTGTTTCAGCTGTATGAGTGCAGCCCTGAATGAATATTCCCAGGGTGGCCAAATTTCTTGTCCTTATATGTCACATCTTAACATCTTCATTTGTCTGGGAGCCACCAAACCTATACCACACCCCTCAAAGAGCTCGGAGGAGGGCCTGGGGGAGTGTTTCCCAGACAAGAGATGACAGTGGCTCCTGGGGTGTCTGGGTGGATGTGCTGATGGGCCCTAAGGCAACCCAGCAGTGCTACCCCCATGGGGCTCATTCATCCCTGGGAGAGCCATGCCCTGTGTCTGGCCAGCTCAGGGAATGGCTGGAATGAGAATGTCCCTGTGATGGCCATGGAGACAAATTTTTGGTTCCCTCACTTTATCCTTCTGCACCTCTTGTTCTGCTCCTCTCCCACGTCAAGGCATAAGTCAGGTCTCAGGACAGCAGGGTAAAATTAATTGGCTTACCCACTATGTCCCAGTTTGCGATAGAGGCCCAACAGAAATCTCTGAGAAATACTCAGCCCTAAGAAGGCTGAGGTCAGCAATCCAAAATCCTCAAAAACAAATGCCAAACAGATGAAAATATGCATTTTTTGAAAAAGGCGTTTCTTTGTCATTTTATGAAAAGAGGCTTATTTCTGTAAAAAGAGGGGGGCGAGGGGGGGAAGAAAGGGAAAATACCTACCATGTTAAAAAGCCCTGACCTTCAGCCTATAAACACATGCACAGTCAGATATGCACACGTACAGTGAAACATCACCACCCTGCTGCACACCCACACTGACAGGAACACTGACACACAAACACACGGGCACTCCCTTTACACATCCCCGACTCAGCCACCCCCCCATGCAAACAGACCCACAAACTCACAGCCTAATTTTAGGCACATGCATTTAGACAGTGTTTCCCGGCCTTCCCAAAGCACTGACTTCTTTTCACGACAGGCACTGAAGTAAGAACAACATTTATAGAGCAATACTCCTGCACCGGCTCCAAATGCTCCCTCCTAATGTGATGATAAACATAATGGGCTTCTGATAAGATCATGTGTTTGGTATAAAAGAATACTCAAGGCCTACTTCAGCCCGATGACTCCATTCATACTCACATGGAGGGGAAAGCAGCCTTTGAATAGCTGTGATCCAGGACAGTGTGTGATCCTAACAGAGGCTAATTTGTTCCTGATTATGCCTAAGACCCCAATAAATCTGTCTGCTCAGAGCCTGCAAAACCCGAGGGAGGAACCAAACGGAGAGCCTGAGATGTCTGAATTAAATGGGGGCTGCCTAAATGATTAACCAAATCCTGCTGAACTGCACTGTCATGAGTCCTGGAGCTGGGCTGGCCCTGGAGAGCCATTGCACCCACAGGACAACTCCGTGCACAGAAGCTGAGAGATGAGGCACCCACTGACCTTTGTGTGCTTTGAAAAATCACGAGGGAAACAGGCTTTTTACAACCCTGATTACTTTTAAGGAAGATCTGTTGGTCTCACCATTATCACACAGTGTGCAGTGCTCTGCATTGAAGGGAGTGAGAGGAGGGGAAGATTTTTCCTGTGAGCTCCCCAGTTCTGAGTGATGGCAAGCGGGATTTTCACTAAATCCTTCCCAGACACAGACCAACCTTCAAACAACAGCCAAATGCATCACTTGGGCTGCCAAAAACTAGCAGAGGTTCTTCCTTCGGGCGTTGAGCACCAGCTCAGACTCTGGATTCTTCTGGTGGTCTCGGATGACTGACAGGTTACGTGTTGAGCTTTACATTTTCATGAGCAAAGCAAAGAACAACCAGATTGTTTCTTCCTACAACTGCTCTGACAAAACAAAAACTAACAGGCTTTTCCCCTTTCTTCAGTGGTGGGAACAAAGCTCAGTCATATTCATAGAGTCCTACAGGCTCAGAGCCAGAGATGACGGTGTCAGGAGTGGTGTATTTCTAGGAACAAACAGCTAATGGCTTTATTCCTATAAGGATGCAAAATGTTTTTACTGTTCTCTTCTTAATTACTGTGACACTAAATGCATCCATGGTCTTGGCAACATGAACTAATTTTTGTCTCCACAGACTGTGTTCAACTTCACACTCCAAAGATGAATTTGATTTGAAGGAGATATTGAGGAGAGGGAACATAAAGGATATCTGATTTGTCCTCAAGGGAAAAATGACTTCAAAAAATTAAAAAACAGTTGCCTCAAAATCCAGCTTAAATCTAGAAGAGTAAAATGTCTGCAGGCATAGCACCTGGCAGCAGGAGAGAGCATCTCTGGGGGATTGACAACAGATGCTGGAGGATGCTGAGCTGAACTTGGGAAACACATTTCCATTCAGGCAGCTCAAGCTCCTTTTCCCTTAGAAAGTTCTTACTGAAGGCAGAAAAAAATTAGGGCCAAACCAAAGTTCCTGTCTTGCCCTTGTTTTGGGAAAAGGCAGTCTCCAGTTCAGCACAGATTTCTGTGACATCTGGGAAACCCTGAAGGAGGCTCTGTGGCAGCATCAACCTGGAGAAGTGTGACTTGAGGAAACAAATTGGCAAGTTCTCTTTTGCTAACTCCTGAAGTCAGGCTTTAAGATCCAAAATAGTCTTGGGGCTCTTGTGTGTTGCACCAGAAAATGATGTAAACTCCATCTCTCCTTGCTTCCTGAGCTGCCTGAGCACAGTCCAAGAGGCAGCTTTTTATACTGAAATACAGATCCCTCCTCTGGGGCTCAGAAATGCAAGGATGCCTGAGATAACACAGATGGTTTAGTGAGCACTGGGAAGCACCAACTAGAGCAGGTAGGGATAAGCAGGTAACTCCTAACTAACCTTTACCAGTGTCTTAGTTTGAGGAGAAGCTGGAAAATCATCAGCAAAACAAGTGAAGCCTGATAGAGGCTAGCAAGCAGACATGCAGGATATACACTTATCTGCGATAGGCAGCCTTCCACCTCATGAAATACAGAAAAAAGAGAGATAAAGAGATCCAATTCATAGCACAGGGCACATCCTCAAATGAGGCTTTGAATGTCCAAGCAGGGTCATCAAAGTGCTGGGGACAGACACTGGGGGCAGCTTCCTGTTTTCAGCCAGGACGCAGTGATTGGCATCGGCATAGTCTTCTTTTGTGCAGGAACTACCATTTTTTAAAAAGGCCAGACAAAAAAAAATGGAGTATTTTTAAGCTCAGCTGTTTACTTAGGGATGTTTCCAACTATAACAAGCCTCATGCCATGTAACTATTTGTCCAGAAAAAAAAAGAAAAAAATAGGAAAAAAAGGGGGGACAAAAACGCAGAAGCATTGTGTCAGAGTAACAAATTCTTGGAACAGAAAAAGATTTGCATTTTAACCCCTGAAAGGTCTGTCCAGAGGTATGCAGGCCTTCAGACACAGCAAAGGCCAAACCCCAGGCTCACCAAAGTCAGCAGCTTCTGCAGAAGCAGGGTTTTACCACCACGTCACTCAATCGGCATCTCCAGCACTGGTGTTTATGTTCACACAGAGGAGAAGAAATGTATCCAGAGGTTTCTGTCACAAAAAGGGAAATAATTCCACTGCACATCACATGAACTTGGCGGCTGAATGACCGCAGAACCTGCTCCATTTATTTCTATGGGAGTTTCACCTTTGGCTTCAGTGGGAAGAGAGTGAATAACATGGCCTGCTTCCAGGATATCTGCTAATCTCTTCTTTAATATTGAAG